TATATTCCCTTAATTTCAGTTTTATAGCGCAGGTATAAACTCCTTTTTTGTTATGAGGGTATTGTGAAGCAATATTTATAAAATGCTTTTTGATTCTTAGATGGAAGGTGCTAGGCAAGTCCAAAGTAATAACCTAGCTGGTTGGTTGGGCACACAAAGTTAGGGTTAAATAGAAGCTACAGTTGTAACACTCCCACTTAGACATGAGGTTGTGATACATATCTGTAATTTCACCCTAAATGCAAATGGGTTAGGATAATGTGAGCAACTCGACTGCACTACTAGATTGAAGAAGAAGAAGAAATTAATTCCTACCTAGTGAGAAATTTAACCTAAAGCACCAAAGCATGATGAGAGAAGATCTTTCTTGGATTTGAGATAATACTCTTGAATATGAGTGACTAAGAACCAATAATAACGGCATGAAGATGGTATCTTGCACACAGCCGCCTTCTCTGGAGAGACCAGAGTTGTATTTTGTTTAGACTGGGGAGCTTTGTGCCATCAAGCATACTGAGACTGATCAGCAGAGAGATGGAAGAGTCATGGGAACTTATAAACTTTTTAGGATTTTTCTGGACAGTCCTACTTTGATTGAAATAAAAAAGAAAAGCAGCAAAATGGAGCCAAACTCCAGCCTTAAAGTCAGTGAAATTGCAATGGTGCAAGAGAAGGCAGAATGATGAGACTCTGTTCATATACCCTCCCACTGCTATGCATCCATTTGCACACGGATTTCTTTGCCTACCCTCTCCCATCATGAACTACCCAACCATCTTCTAGGATGGCCAGGACACTGCAGTGTCTTCCCTTTCCTGAACTTTCAGCGAAGAGCTGTGCACACAGACAGAGGCTGGGACACACTGAAGAGCAGATGCTTTGGAATGACAAGGCCTCTGACAGATAACTTTGCAGTACTTCAGGCCCCATGTGCATTGGAGTGGGGAAGGGTTATCTGAGCTGTCAAGAATGGTATAGCCCAGTGTTTCTCAACTTTTTTTTAGTAAGTACCCCTTTTTCAAAAAAAAAATTAAGTACCCCCAGCCTCTCCACACCACTCATGATTTTTTTTTTTTTACCATTGCAACACATTTGTTTAAACAACTTAATCGTAGCCGAGTGGACAATGAAATTTTTGGGTATAAAAAGTACAAAAATAAAATGCTGTAAAACTTAAAACAAACCAAATTTCAGTTGTGCTGACATACCCCCCCAGACTCCTCGAGTACCCTTAAGGGTACTTGTACCACTGGTTGAGAAACACTGGTATAGCCCACCAAGTGAGGATGAAACCAGACTCTCTCAATCATATTTAGCAATTGTCCTGACTTCTCTGAATTCTGTTTTTTAAAGGTGGTTTGGCCCTGTTCATGCTGGACCCCTAAGTGGCGCTGTTCAAACGGATTTGTCTGAGCTGGTTTTAATGCTTAGTCATGCAACACTTTCTAAGTGCTAATCTGGCTAGAGCAGTGATCCCCAACCTTTTGGGGCTACCGGGTGCCTAGGGGCGGGGCCGCTCATGCACCACGTGTGGGAGCAGTGGCAGTCCACATGCCAGGGGCCGGCACCGCGCTTGTGCCACGCCCCTGGGGCAGGGGCCGCCCATGCCTCACACGCCCAGGGCCAGCACCACGCATGTGCCACGCGCCTGGGGGCGGGGCCGGCCCAGATTGTTCGGTGGGCGCCATAGCGCCCGCGGGCACCACATTAGGGACTACTGGGCTAGAGTGTCATGGACTGTGGCAGTCCACATGCCAGGGGCCGGCACCGCGCTTGTGCCACGCCCCTGGGGCAGGGGCCGCCCATGCCTCACACGCCCAGGGCCAGCACCACGCATGTGCCACGCGCCTGGGGGCGGGGCCGGCCCAGATTGTTCGGTGGGCGCCATAGCGCCCGCGGGCACCACATTAGGGACTACTGGGCTAGAGTGTCATGGACTCTTAAGGCCTGAAGGGGTCAGTGTGATTGAACCTGACTCCTGCAAACATAATACAAGCCATAGAACTTCCCCTGAAATAACAGCTGCTTGAACTGGATTGTGTTTCTTGGGGGAAAAACATCCACAGAGTCTGTACAGTGATAAGCTAGGCCCCAGTGTGCACGTGTGTTCCACTGATTGACCCCTCCACACCTATTGCTGATGTTTTCCAACAGACCTCAGAGTTGCCATTTTAGTTTCCCAAATTTGCTTTCAAGTTTCTTGTCCTCTCCTGTCTAGGGCTCTCAGACCCATTCCTCTCAATGCTTAGCTTCTGTGAGCTCTTCTGTGTCCCTGCCCCCTATTTAATATTAGGGACACGGAAGTGTAACTGAACATGGGTAACCGATAAGCCTGTATCGGAGGCAGCAGCACGGGGCAGGTGGGAGTCAGTTCACACAAAGAGTCTACTGCTGGCTACCTTGTGTGCAACTGCTGAAGTTTTCAGCTGTTACGTAGTTACTTTAATTAAATGCATTTTTAACATCCCTAATTTACATGCCTCCCCACCATCCATTGCTGTAGCATGTATCTTTACAACATCCTCTGCAATGTGGCTTTAATTGTATCCACACTTTACAAACTAGGGGAACTGAGATAGTGACCTGCCCCCAAGATCTCCTAGGATGGCTGTAATAGCAGGGGGTTGAATCCAGACTTCGTAAGTGTTGAGATTGTCGTGTCTAAGAATGGAAAGTCAGATCACCCTTGCCGTTGTACACCTGCTATTTCACAGATACAAGTTGGACCTTGATTGTCCAGCACCCTCAGGACCTGACTGGTCCTGAGCAAGGGGATTTGCTGGACCAGGGAAGGTTCCTCCCCACCAGGCTAGGTCTCCAGCCTGACCCTGCCGCTGCCTCAGTCTCCCATGGCTCTCCCTGGCCCCGCTGCTGCCAGGGCCGGAGTGCCATGGCAAGAGCTCTGCAGCTACCTGACTCTGCGGCTGGGGTGGAGGGATGGGGTGGAGCGCCATGGCCCAGGCCTGAGCTCCCTGGCTGCTGGGGCCAGGAAGCTCCACTGGGGCCAGAATTCCCCACCATGCCACCATTCCTCTGCCCCTCCACACACACACACTTTGGGCTCCCAGATGAGTTGCTGGTGCCCCTTATGGCGCTCCTGCCCCACCACTGGACCTCCCTCTTCCTGGGCTCTGTGGTCCAGGAACATCGGTGGTCCATACCAGACCCACCACGAATGATGCTGGGCCAGGGAGTCTCGGTTAAGAGAGATACAACCTGTACTATAAAACTAGCTGTCCTCTCAGTAAAGATGTCTACATAAGACTGTGAATGTTTTTAGCATAACTGCCGCAAATCAGATTTGAATATTATGGTCACATGGCTACTCCTGACAAATGCAAAGTTTAAAAGTATAATGCGCAGTGCTTAGGCCAGTGGTAGGTACAGAGCAAAGCTAACTTGATGTCTGTTCTTGTTATAAAATAAATGTGAAATGTAGGCTAAAATGTGGCCTGTTCCTAAATCTATCAGCACCATTTTCTGCTCTTCATTCCCCCCTCCCCGCTTCTGAGCCTTTCATCATGCTTCCTTTTCTGTATTAAACGTGCTCCTAAAACTGGTTTTCCAAGCTCCTCTCTCCTCATCGAAATACCTCCGAAGACTCTACAAAAAATATTTCAACTAATTTTAAGTAGCCTTTTTTAATGATGATCTCATGCAGGATAAGAAATAAGGACCAAATCAAGGAAAATCTGCACAACTTTTGTTTAAACTATAACAAATTCAGGAAGCAATGATTCCTACACAAAGATTAAAAAACAGAAACCTTTAATTTTAAAGTTTAGGTGTATATTTTAGAAATACAGAAAATAGGATTTCTGGTTGGGTCAGAATCCTCATTGCACTGTTTCTTGAGCTTCTACAAAGCTACTACTGATGGACCAGTGGGTGTGGTATAAGGATGTGAAAGTGTTATGAGCACATCATCATGTAACCCTCCTCCAGCTGTTCTTAGTATGCTAGGTCCTCTGTCTGGTGGTGAGTTGAACCCTAGTGCCTACTCAATGGCAAAGACCGTCTGCACCTTTGTTTGTACATTACCAAGGTACTTGACTAATAGCCATGTGTCGATTATATGAGGTTCTCCTGCCCACCCAAACACGGTAGTCAGACAATTTACCAATTGTTCGCAGGCTGCAATTTTCCAGCAACTCTTATTCCAGTTTAGGGCATTGAAGCTAGTTCAGACAAAACTGTTTCCTAGTTCAAGATGGATGTGTGCAGTAAGGGAGAGTTTTTCTGTTCTTGCCTTCAACAAAGCCTAAAACCTAATGCTGTAGAAAGAAATGGCTGATGTCTGGGAAGAATGAGAAGTGGGAAATGTTTCGTGTTTTCTTTTAAATTTACGTTAGGTTATTTTTTCGTTTGTTTTTCTCAAGTAAGAAACTCGTTTGCCTATCGGAGGCCTCAGAAGGGACTGAGGCTAGGCAGGAGTTCTCATACTCTTTCAAAGGGTGAACCACTCTTCTGTCATGGACCACTTCCCTTCACTTAGTCATCACACAGACAGCCTCTTCTCCTGTGTGCAATCCTATATGAGCCTGTGGCAACCGCAGCACTTGTTTATATAGGAATGGGCTTACTTTTACCCTCTTTTAATGCAACTTAGCAGCTGGAAACACGTTTGAGAATTGGTACCCATGTGACCAACTAGCTTTTTGGACTGCTAGCCAGCACTTCACAGACCACAGCTGGGGAACTTCTGGATTGGGGGGAGGGGGGCCGGAAAAGGAGGAGAGGAGAGGATAGGATAGCATAAAATACATTTGTCAGTTAACTAGGTTTGTGCTACAGCCTTCATAATTGACAATAACATGAGCTGGTTTGATTGATTTTTTTTTCTATTTGTTTGTAGTTTGCCTAGGAGCAGAATGCAGTGAATTCTGTAACACACACTTCTCTTTCCTGATGGTGTTTGGGAGAACAATTTCTTTGCCTCTTAATTTTTTTTTGTCTGATCCAATTTTTTTTTGTCTGATCCACTTTTCTGTGCACTACAGGATCTGTCTGGTTCAATAGATGATCTACCAATGGGTACCGAAGGAGCCCTGAGTCCTGGAGTAAGCACATCAGGGATTTCAAGCAGTCAAGGAGAGCAGAGTAACCCAGCTCAGTCTCCTTTCTCTCCGCATACCTCGCCTCACCTCCCAGGAATCAGAGGACCTTCCCCTTCCCCTGTTGGCTCTCCTGCTAGTGTTGCTCAGTCACGTTCCGGTCCACTCTCACCTGCTGCTGTACCAGGTAAAAGTATTCAGTGTATCTGTGGATCTGCTGCTTGTGACTGCTCTGTGCAGCCGAAGAGTCTCCACACAGTGAATTAATATTGGCTCTTTTAAAGAGAAGTTTACCAAGAGCAGTCCCACTTCCTGGCAGTGTGCGTCCTTGTGATCATTTAGTTGCCTTAAAAATAAAGCTACAACTTAGAGGAGGGGATTTTTAAATAAAATAAGGGATCAATCTGTTCGCTTGAAAACAAGTAACACTGTTAATTGTTTTATTTGAAAAATATTAATGTAACTTTTCTTCTCCTGCCTTCGGCCTGCTTCCTTTGGTTGGCTTAACACCCTCACCATCTCCTCTTGGATTTTGTTGCAACTCTAATGTTTATCTAAGTCTCTAGTCAGAGCTGTCCCAGGCGCTGCCTAAGCCCTCCTATGAGTAGATCCCAAGGTGGCCCAGGGGATTACCTGGGGAGCAGGGCCTGGCGCAGGGCAGCAGGAAGAGTCATTTCTCTTCTCTCCCCAATGTGCTTGGCTTCACCGCAGCAGCAGGCTGGGAGGGGGTGGCTGAGCAGGCTGCTGGGCCACTCTGGCTCCTGCTGCTACCCTGCACCAGGTCCCTCTGGTAATCTTCTGCCTTGCATTACTTGAGGAAAAGGGGGTTTGGGGGAAGGGCTTGGGTTACCCAGAACCTGCATCTAGGACACTAGGATGGGGTTGCCCCACATCCCCCTAGGAATGGTTTTGTCTCTAGTAGCCATTTCTAGGTATTCTGCATTTTCTGGTATGCTGCTTGTGGCTAACACTTTTCTATCCGTGGTGCAGGCAATCAGATGCCACCCCGACCACCAAGTGTCCAGTCGGACAGTATCCTGCATCCTTCCATGAATCAATCAAGCATAGTCCAAGATCGAGGTAGGGGTGGTGTTAAGCATTCTAAGTTTTAGCAATAGATTAAATATAAAGCAGGATATATAAATAATAAAGATCGCCTGAACTGTGCAAGCTTTGAAACCAGCATCTTCTATGTGAGGCAGAGATTATGGGCTAATATACAGTTTGTAGAGCTGGAGCAGCCCTTTCAACTCAATAAACATTCAGAGCACATTGCAATAAGGTTGCCTGTTGCTTGCCCTAGAGAGTTGACTTCGATTAAGATGTTCCCTGCAGCTTTGAAAACAAATTTCTGTGAATGCTGCATTTTCAAAATGTGGGATGTTTACAACAGTTGTGTGTCTGTTCTCCCTAAAGGAGAACAGATTCACTGGAAGAAGGGTAGGTGAGTGGGAGCTTTTCTCTTTATGGCTGCAGGCATATGTAGTACTATGGTCCCCCACTAATAAGCAATATTTGGCTAGCTCACTGAGTACAGTGACAGGCTACAGCTTTTCCCTGGCTAGCGCAGTTATAAATTTGGCTTTATTTACAAAAATAATTAAAACAAAACACAATTTTTTTTAAAAGACAACTGCTAAAAAAAGTCTGGAATGTTTGCGTGTGTTCAGGGGACCCAGGGAAGTTTATGTATGCAATTGTACCAACTAATTTGATTGTCTCATTGATCAGGTTACATGCAGAGGACTCCTCAGATGCCCCAGTATAGCTCCCCTCAGCCTGGCTCTGCCTTATCTCCTCGTCAGTCGTCTGGAGGACAGATGCATGCTGGGATGGGACCTTATCAGCAGAATTCAATGGGAAGCTATGGACCCCAGGGGGCTCAGTATGGTCCTCAAGGTATGAGCGTGAACCAGCTGGATAGAATGGGAGGCTAGAACTAGTAAATGTGAGCAGGAAAAATGGCCCATATCCCCTGCTGCCTTTTTTTTGCCTTTAACAAATTTGCATTTTTTACACCGTATTAAAATGTGTGGATGTTGCAACAGCATCTGAAACACTTTCCTGCCACAAAAGAGAGTGTGCTTTGTGTCTCACACTTGGAAACAAGGGTAAGACGGATGACTTTAAGAATTAAAGTGCTTCTGCTATAGAATTCCCCTCTTGATTTGAAAAAAATTCAGATGAGGGTGCTTGTAAAAACTACTGCTGAATTGGTTGACTTCAGAAGGGGAAGAATTTGACAGAGTTGTATGTGTTATGTCACTTTAACTAGGGCCTCTCTGTTCTGTACTGGGCCATTTGGGTAATTGTGTTCTGTGATGAGCTCAGGGGAGGTTCATGCTGCCTTTGATTTGATGCTGTAACTTGATTGTGTTTAGACCTATTTTATGCAGATTAACCAGGTAACTTGAGTTTAGGTGCTAAAATTCACCTAGGTCTCTGTGCTCTTTTTGTTAATGATTTTAAAACAGCTGCAGATTTGAAGACTTCCAGTAAGTCACAGATTAAATAGCTGGAGGTGCTCTTTCTCCCCTCTTTTCTCTCTGCAGGAGGTTATCCCAGGCAGCCAAACTACAATGCTATGCCTAATGCCAACTACCCCAGCCCAGGAATGGGAGGAAGTATAAACCCAATGGGAGCAGGGAGCCAAATGCATGGTCAGACTGGTGTGCCACCCTATACTGGGCTTCCCCCAGGAAGGATGAGCCATGCTGCCATGGGGAACAGGCCCTATGGACCCAACATGGCAAATATGCCTCCCCAGGTGGGGACAGGGATGTGCCCCCCACCAGGTGGCATGAACCGGAAAGCACAAGAAGCAGCTGCTGCTGCAATGCATGCTGCTGCCAACTCTATCCAGAACAGGTAAGAAATGAGACTGCCCTATGTCCTGTTGTTGTTTTCAGCCCTTTCATGTGGCATATCCTCTGACTTCAGACAAGGGTGCGTTTTGAAACAGTCAAACTTTGAGAAACTCTGAATACAGGTTTCCTTAAAATGCCTGCAGAAGGGCAAGTCTTCAGTCAATCTGGAGAAGTTAGGAGGAGAGAAGAGTTTCTGAATAACTACACAATTAGCAAAAGCGACGAGGAGTCCTGTGGCACCTTATAGACTAACTGAAGTGTAGGAGCATAAGCTTTCGTGGGAAAGCTTATGCTCCTACACTTCAGTTAGTCTATAAGGTGCCACGGGACTCCTCGTCGCTTTTGCAGATTCAGACTAACACGGCTACCCCTCTGATACTTTACACAATTAGCAGTGTTATGTGGCTTCTTTTATGTGTAAAAAGAAAGTCTGCTGCTCCTTGAGATCCTTGCTGTTTGGGTTTCTGGAGCTGTTGCACAGGTGAGAACAAGATACAGTGTGCCTGGAGGAGCCAGTGAATCTAGCCAGGTCATCATTCCAACTGTATTTGTCTGATTTTTGTGTAGAGAAGTTTAGCCTTTAACATTTTGTGTCCAGTGCTGTTCACCTTTTTGATGAGCAACAGACTTGAGGGGAAATATCCAAAATTCATAATTTAGAGTCTGCAGGAAAGAGTAGGATGATGGTGAAATTGGCTGGAGGTTGCATACAGAGATCAACTAGGTTAGTCAGCAGAGCCGTGAATTCACACACGTTATTTATGCAGAGTAGAGCAGTTCACTGATTTGTCTTGCGTATCTGTGAGATCTGAACAAATGTTCCAGTCTTCCATTTCTGTTCATCAGAAGGCCCATCGCCTGAGTGACTCATAGACTCATAGACTCATAGACTTTAAGGTCAGAAGGGACCATTATGATCATCTAGTCTGACCCCCTGCACAGTGCAGGCCACAGAATCTCGCCCACCCCTCTTAGAATAATCCTCTCACCTATGTCTCAGATATTGAAGCCTTCCAATACTTTGAAGGCCCCAACATGCAGAGAGTCCTTCAGCTGTGATCTGTGCCCAATGCTACAGAGGAAGGCGAAAAACCTCCAGGGCCTCTGCCAATCTACCCTGGAGGAAAATTCCTTCCTGACCCCAAATATGGCGATCAGCTAAACCCTGAGCATGTGGGCAAGACTCACCAGCCAGACACCCAGAAAGTTCCCTATAGCAACTCCTATCATCCCTCCATTGACCTATTTCCAACTGGAAATGAATGGTCAATTAGTTACCAAGATCATGTTATTTCATCCAACCATCCCCTTATCATAGAATCAGAACTGGAAGAGACCTCAGAAGGTCGTCAAGTCCAGCCCTCCGCTCTAGGCAGGACCAATCCCATCTAAATCAACCCGGCCAGGGCTTTGTCAAGCCGAGACTTAAACACCTCTAGGGATGGAGACTCCACTACTTCCCTAGGTAACCCATTCCAATGCTTCACTACCCTCCTAGTAAAATAGTTTTTCCTAATATCCAATCTGGACCTCTCCCACCACAACTTGAGACCATTGCTCCTTGTTCTGCCATCTGTCACTACTGAGAACAGCCTCTCTCCATCCTCTTTGGAACCTCCCTTCAGGAAGTTGAAGGCTGCTATCAAGTCCCCCCTCACTCTTCGCTTCTGCAGACTAAACAGACCCAAGTCCCTCAGCCTCTCCTCGTAGGTCATATGCTCCAGACCCCTAATCATTTTGGTTGCCCTCCGCTGGACCCTCTCCAATGCGTCCGCATCCTTTTTGTAGTGGGGGGCCCAGAACTGGACACAGTACTCCAGATGTGGCCTCACCAAAGCCGAATAAAGGGGAATAATGACATCTCTGGATCTGCTGGCAATGCTCCTCTTAATGCATCCTAATATGCCATTAGCCTTCTTGGCTACAAGGGCACACTGTTGACTCATATCTAGCTTCTCATCCACTGTAACCCCCAGGTCCTTTTCTGCAGAACTACTACTTAACTGGTTGGTCCCCAGCCTGTAACTATGCTTGGGATTCTTCCGTCCCAAGTGCAGGACTCTACACTTGTCTTTGTTGAATCTCATGAGATTTCTAGTGGCCCAATCCTCCAATTTGTCTAAGTCACTCTGGACCCTATCTCTGCCCTTAAGCGTATCTACCTCTCCCCCTAGCTTAGTGTCATCTGCAAACTTGCTGAGGGTGCAATCTATCCCCTCATCCAGGTCATTAATAAAGATATTGAACAAAACCGGTCCTAGAACCGAACCTTGGGGCACTCCACTAGAAACCGACCTCCATCCTGACATCGAACCGTTGATCACTACCCGCTGGGCCCGGCCTTCTAGCCATCTTTCTATCCATCTTACCGTCCATTTATCCAATCCGCATTCCCTTAACTTGCTGGCAAGAATATTGTGGGAGACCGTATCAAAAGCCTTGCTAAAGTCAAGGTATATAACATCCACTGACTTTCCCATGTCCACTGAGCCAGTTACCTCATCATAGAAGCTAATCAGATTGGTCAAGCACGACTTGCCCTTTGTGAATCCATGCTGACTATTCCTGATCACTTTCCTCTCATTCAAGTGTCTCAAAATGGACTCCTTTATGATCCCTTCCATGATTTTTCCAGGAACCGAGGTAAGACTGACCGGCCTATAGTTCCCTGGATCGTCCTTCTTCCCTTTTTTGAAGATGGGCACTACATTTGCCTTTTTCCAATCATCCGGGATTTCGCCCGATCTCCACGACTTTTCAAAGATAATGGCCAAAGGCTCCTCAATGACATTTGCCAACTCCTTCAGTACCCTTGGGTGCATTAAGTCTGGACCCATGGATTTGTGTACGTTTAGTTTTTCTAAATAGTTCCTAACCTGTTCTTTACCCACCAAGGGCTGTCCATCTTCTTCCCATCTTGCGTCGCTTAGCACAGAAGTCCAGGAGCCGACCTTGTCCGTGAATACAGAGGCAAAGAAAGCATTGAGTACTTCAGCTTTCCCCACATCCTCTGTCACTAGGTTACCTCCTTCATCCATTAGGGACTGCACACCCTCTCTGATCACCTTCTTTTTGTTGACATGCCTGTAGAAACCTTTCTTGTTATCCTTCACATCCTTAGCCAGTCGCAACTCCATTTGCGCTTTCGCCTTCCTGATAACCCCCCGGCATTCTCGAACTATACATTTAAGCTCCTCCCTAGTCATTTGTCCAAGTTTCCACTTTCTGTAAGCTTCCTTTTTGTGCTTAAGTACACCAAGGATTTCCCCTGTAAGCCAATCCGGTCTCCTACCAGGTTTGCCTCTCTTGCTACGTGTCGGGATGGTTTCTTTCTGTGCCAAGGCTGTTGGATGGATAGTAGGATTGTTAAGAAGTGGGTATTCCACTGTTCATGTAGTCAATTAAAATTTTAATTGCCTAATCATGTAGCCAATAAGGGAAGGCACTCAGTCCCGGCTAGTGCCAGGTCCTGGACCTACCCCTGCTGCAACTCTGCGGTTTGAATGTAGTAATAGCTGGGCGCCCTGCCCACCTGGCTCTTACTACATTTAATTTGCAGAGCTGCAGCGTGGCTAGATCCCAGACGCAGCACAAGCAAGAACTGGGCCAGGCTTGCTCAGTCCTGGCTTTCGCTGGGTCCCGCAACCCCCATCAGCGGGGAGGGGGAACCCCTGGTAGACAGGGGCTGCTGTGGGAGCCGTTCCCAGCTTCCTGCTGGGATCCCCACTGGCAGAGGCTGTTTCATCCCCCTCCCCGTGTTGCTGCCTCTGATAGAGGCATCTGTGCAGGGCAGGGAGGACAGGCTGCACTGTGGAGGTGGTGCTGGGGGGAGGAGGAGAGATCAGCTTTTAAACTGACTGATACAGAGGCAATAAGTGGGGAGGGAAATGTGAGTAGTTGACTACCCAAAGCCTATGCTTATTAGGTAGTTCGCTACTTGACTACTCATTTACATCCCTAATGGATAGTCCCTTACCACAGATACAAAAGCTTCAGGCCGAGTTAGTCTGTTACAGGAAAAAAAACAACAAAAGGTCTGGTAGCACGAAGTGGGCTGTGCCCATGAAAGCTCATGATACCATCTACATGTTTCGCCAGTCTATAAAGTGCTACCAGACCATTTGTTGTGTTTTTTCCACAGATTCAAAGATAGGTATGCCCCTCTTTTACTGGAATGTGAATTTGAGTTGGTTTTTGAGCGTGGTGCTTTTGGGTATATCTGCTACAGCAGGCAGAGGGGGAGCAGTGGTTGAAGGAGAGTGGGCATCAGGAGCAGCAGCATTTGTGGTGACATTCCAGATTTGAGAGTTCTGTCTCCTTTGGCAGAGTTAACTTAATGCCGCAGAGTGCAACGTAGGGGTGCACTAGGTCAAGATTGGGGGTGACATTTTCAAAACCATTATAGTTCTGTGTTCACAGTTGGTTGAGGTATTTAGGAGCTTAAGTCCCCTTACTTTCAGTGAGATTAAGACTATGTCTACATTGCCAGAGGGCAGGCTCTGGAGATATGTTTGTGCTCTGAGAGCACAGGGATAAAATACCCCTGCTGGAACGTAGGGGTGCACTAGGTCAAGATTGGGGGTGACATTTTCAAAACCATTATAGTTCTGTGTTCACAGTTGGTTGAGGTATTTAGGAGCTTAAGTCCCCTTACTTTCAGTGAGATTAAGACTATGTCTACATTGCCAGAGGGCAGGCTCTGGAGATATGTTTGTGCTCTGAGAGCACAGGGATAAAATACCCCTGCTGGCGGGCTGAAAAATGGTGTCTCTCTCTTCAGGCTATGACTGTAGCCTGACCTCTGGGACTGGGGGGGGGTCACAGAGCTCAGGGTCCAGCCTGAGCCCAGCCCCAGCCACTCCATATGTCTCTTTTATTACTGTGTAGTTGTACCCATACTGCTCCATGTGGATACTTCTGGTGCCAACTGAAAAAGGGATTTAGCTTTTGTTAACAGAGTCCCATTTGAAAGAGCGACGAGGAGTCCTGTGGCACCTTTATAGACTAACTGAAGTGTAGGAGCATAAGCTTTCGTGGGCAAAGACCCACTTCGTCAGATGCATGTACATCTGACGAAGTGGGTCTTTGCCCACGAAAGCTTATGCTCCTACACTTCAGTTAGTCTATAAGGTGCCACAGGACTCCTCGTCGCTTTTTCAGATTCAGACTAACACGGCTACCCCTCTGATACTTGACACCATTTGAAAGAGGAGTGCTAGTTCGCCCTAGTAGCGTCCACACAGAGCCATTAGCACGTGGGTTTACTCTGCAATTCACGCCCTGCAATGTCCGTGTTGTGGTGCAGTGTGGACAAGCAGTTGGACTTCAGAGTCACTTAAGTGCTCTGTAGACTTTATTCTGCCTCAGTTTTAGTGGGCAAGTGTTCTCATGGAATCAGATGCTTCCGTTTCATGTCAGCGGCAGAAAGCCTCTGTTAGCAAAGCCCACTCCAGCAGAATGCAAATTTTAATGCTTGATATTGAAAACATACTTCTGCTCTACCCCTCTCCTGCTTTTAGGCCTCCTGGCTATCCCAACATGAACCAAGGGGGAATGATGGGAACTGGACCTCCTTATGGACAAGGAATTAACAGTATGGCTGGCATGATAAATCCCCAGGGTCCTCCATATTCTATGAGTGGGAATATGGCCAACAACTCGGCAGGTAAAGCAGTGCTAACCCCGAGGAGGGCATTGGATTTCATGATACTGAATTGAAATGCAGTGTTTTGAGAGCCTGTTTAATCTTCTAGGGATGGCAGCAAGTCCGGAAATGATGGGCCTTGGGGATGTCAAACTGACACCTGCAACTAAAATGAACAACAAGGCAGATGGGACGCCAAAAACAGAATCCAAGTCAAAGGTAAAACGTGTGTTCCTGTTTTAGGCTGAATTGGGGCCACAACTAGGCTGAATTGGGGCCTCATTGCATGGGGTGTTGTGCAAACACACAGACATGTTCTTTATCCCAAGGAGATTATTTTACCCTCTCCTTAAAATTCTCTGTTGTATAGATGCCACTCTCGCCTCTTGGTTTGAACAGTTACTTAGGAAATGTGGGAGAGCCTGTTTCCTTGCTAATAGGGTTAGGTTTTTGCAGTATTTCTGCATGTGCAAAAGGCTGACCAATTAGAAAAAATCAAAAGGGGGGAGGTATGTGTGAAGTAGGTATGAGCATCTAAATTTGTTCTCTAAAGAGATCATCTACAAAGGATTCTCCCGCCTGGGTCTTAACTCCTTACTACAAGGCTCATGGATCTCCCAGAGCTGTCAATGTTTCTATTTTAACTTTGAGGTAGAGTATACACCAGATCCTAGTGACCATCACATACCATGCCCTTGCAAAGTACTACTGCTGCCCTCTCAAACGCTCCAGTTCTTGACTGGATCGGCAGAGTTCTCCGCTACATGCTGCATTTTTGCATTGCTCTAGTTCTGCTGTCAGCACCATTATGTCTCCATATCAGTGCTTTGTGCCAAGGCTTATACGGTCTTGATACACAAGTCTATGGTGCAGACAGCATACACTATACAGGTTTTCCCTCCTCTCCCCCAAAATCACATGGACAGTTCTAGTTATTTGTATGAGGCACACTAAAAATCTGGGTGAAAAGGGCTATCGTTTAGACATTTCCGGTGCAAAATACATCTCCAGTGTGAGCACAGAGAGTCCACATAGGAAGAGCCTGATTTTTCCTACTTCTCACATAAGTGAAGACAGATGACATTCCCCACCCCACCCCACCCCCAACTTGGATCTAGCCCAGGAATCTACACAGGTCAAAACTGAGAAGTATGTGAGCCAGGAATCTCTGGCCAATATTGGTACTGTGCCTTTACACTGTGTGTTGGGTCAGCTAGCAAAGACTGTCCCCCTATGTGGTAGACAGGGAGGGAGAGTCCATCTTACCCGAGAGTGCTGCTGACTGTCTCTACCCTCTTCAAGAGAACTTGTTAGTGGGGGCTGTGGGTATTGGAAAGCTTGGTTACTGTGCTGTGGCCCAGAGTCTTTTCCGAACTGCAGTTCATGTGGGGGAGTAATTGGAAAGTGTGTGGCAGCAACTAGGGATGTGAACAACTGGTACCTGGGATCACAGTGGAGGGCTGGCCCCTCGGGGGTGGGAGCCAGCCTCAGTCTCAGAGCTGGGACCCTCCTGCTGCCAGTGGTGGCAGGGCAGGGAACCTCTTAGCCAAGGCTGGGTAAAATACGGCCCAGGAGCCAGATCCAGCCCGCAGACCACCCTGCCGAGATCCTTGGGCGCACACAGTTGCTGCGGTTTGACACGGTCCCTGCAGCTCTCTGCTCTGCAGGTAGGGCAAGGCTTCCTGCTGGGTCTATGCGAGCTAAATTAGTGTCAGCAACTTTCCTAAGTGAGTGGCTCTCCAAATGATCCTGGAATAATTTCTTTCCCTTCACTCAACATGGCTCTTAGCTCCTGGAACAGCCTACAGTTTAAAGTGATTTGAGGCTGTTGCAGGCAGGGACACTTAGGTAAGCACCTCCCAGTCAGAGCCTACCTCTGGCACCCCAGCCCCTCCTGCACCCCAATTCCCTTCCCCCCCTATCCAAACCCTCTGTGCCCCCTGCCCCAGGTAACAGCTCCCTTCCAGGCCTGTACCCCCTTCCACACCCTTCCCTCAGGCCGGAATCCTCTTCTGCACCTACACCCCAATCCTCTGACCCAGATCACAACTCCCTCCTCCACCCAACCACCCTCTCAGACCCCGCACCCCAGTCCCTTACCCCGTGCGCCCTTCTGCACCCAGCCTTCGGAGTGGCCCCTCACCAAATATTATTGCCCATCCTTGCTCTTGGCCATGGTGGCGGCAGTCCCAGTCTCGGGGCTGGGACTGTCCTGCCATTGCCACTGCTGGTGGCAGCCCCAGGGCTGGGAGATTGCTGCCACCAGTGGTGGACAGCCCTGCCTTTGGGTGGGATCCTGCATTAGTCGGTTAACCAATTAAACATACAGTTAACCTAATGTTTAGCTGGTTTAATCAGGATTTTATATCGCTAGTAGCAACGATTCTAGTCATGGATTACCATGTCCTTGTAGCTAAGGGCCAGGTGGGGCTTTGGAATGAGGCCTCTATCCTGGTCAGTTTTCATCTCCCCTCCCTCTTCACCTTTCCAAGAGAAATCATAGGATCTTAAGCAGCCATACAACTATAGTCAGGCATATATAGCACGCATGCATTTGCCTTAAGGCCATGCTGGTCCCACCAAGACAACCGTTCTTGAGGGCTTTGACTTACACTGGAGAGTAGAATCAGGAAGCCTCTCTGCAGGAGGCAAAGGAGGCAAAGGCTGTGGTTTCTTAGGGGTTCTTCAAGGGATGCAAGGAAAAGGCTCCACTTCTTAAGCTTTCTTCCTTTTCAGCATCTCTCTGAAGGGCACTTGAGCAGCACCCACGACCCTGTACCAAAAACTGAAGATGATTCAAGTGGTGATTCCCAAGGACTCCACTCTTGGTTTGCATATGCACAGAAGATTGGATTCTTATGGCCAGACATTCGTTGGGGCTGTGCATGGCCACCAGCACTTGAGTGCAGAGAAGTCCATCTCACCCTCATTTCCTTCTCACCTTCCTTGGCAGAGAGAGAGAAGAGCAGGTGGATAGTTCTGGCTGTGGGAGTTAACTATAGAACTGGTGGGGCCTTCAAGAGCCCATCAAGTCTAGTCCGCTGCACTCATGGCTGGGCCAAGCAACATCTAGATCATCCTTGATGTGTGTGAGACTCAGGTGCTCTTAAAAATCTCGAGTGATGGAAATTGCACAACCTCCCTAGGCAACTTATTCCAGTGTTTCACCACCCAGACCGTTAGGAAGTTTTTCCTAATGTCCAACCTAAACTTGCCTTGTTGCAATTTAAGCCCCTTGCTTCTTGTCTTGCATCAAACATTAAAGAGAAAAATGTTTCTCCCTCTAACATCCTTTTAGGTATTTGAAAGCTGTTGTCATGTCCCCCTTCAGTCTTGTCTTTTCCAAACTGAACAAACCCAATTATTTCAGTCTTTCCTCATCGCTCATTTTTTTAGATCTTTAATCATTTTCGTTGCTCTTTTCTGGATCTTCTCCACATCTTTCCTGAGATGTGGTTCCCAGGACTGGACACAATACTCCAGGTGAGACCTAATCAGCGCAGAGCAGAGTTCAGAGAGAACCTTGTTGCCCATTGGCAGTGCACATACACAAATCCTTGTCTTAGGTTCTAGTTTGTGGTGTGAAGCCCCCACCACCTCTAGTTCTAGGCTGCAGCAAAATGGCTCCAGTGCTTTGAACCTGCTCCTTGGGTAAGCCTCAATCCCACTTGATGGGCTCTGTTTTGTTTAGCAGAGGGACCTGGTCCGGAGACCTCGTCTTCATGTTCGGTGATGCACTGGTGCAGCTACACTGCACCATTGTAGTGCTTCAGTACAACACCAATGGGAGAGCTGCTTCTGTCATGCAGTTAATATATCACCACAAGAGGTGTTGCCTATCAGTGGGAACAGCCCTCCTGTTGACATAGCGCTGTATACATGGGGGGCTAGGTCGGTCTAACTACTTTGCTCTGGGGTGTGGATTCCCACCCCCCGCTCAGCGTCAGTTACAGCCGTGTAGGAGTGTAGCATAGACCTGTGAGTAGTGACATAACATCATTTCTTCTCTGCGCAAAGTCCGAGCTAGAAAAGCCCCCTTAAAAATGATCCAGTTGGAGCACTCGACACTAGCCTCCTCAGTCCTCCTGTCAGTCCCCTGACAAGCAGAGGTTCTGTTCTGACTTCCCAGGCTATGTTAACTAGTAATCCCCAATATGCCTCTCTTCCCACTTCAGCCAATGGGTAGGATGGAGCCTTTCATTGGAGTTGAGCTTGGGTATATGTCACTTCAGGTGTCTGAATCCAGCTGTGCATCAGGTTTCTCTTGGTCTCAACAGTCGAGGTTCAGTCAACAGCCAAGGAAGAGACCGTCTGACACTCGGTTACTCACTGTATCTACAAACTGTCAGCACTTCTGTACAGGCAACCTCAGAACTGTTGGCTGGCTCCCAGTACACCTGTAGCTAGTGATTTACCTGTGAGCATGGTAAGAGTCAAGGGTGGTAATAACTAAGGCATCTGCCACTGAGGTGTCACTGTGGCAGGTACTGCTACTGACTTCCCCTCCTGCCCACTTGAGGGGAATGCAGCTGAGCTGGGACATTTTTTATGAGATGGCCCCCTCCATGGACGAGGTGTGCGCCTTACTTGTTCCAATTGAGGTATAATAGGAACTCTCTACGTACCCTCATTTGATAGCACAGTGAGACTCCGGGGAGAGATCCTTGAGAGCCTAGGGCTCATGAGGAATGTTCTTTCTGGTCTTTTCCCCATAATCCATTTATCCCTCCCTGTGTTTGGCATTGGCACTATAGGTTGAAACTGCCTAATCCACGCTTCCCTTGTCCAGCAACATCCCTGGTCTGGCATCATCTGTGCGAGCAGCCATAGGGATAAGCCTTTGGGCTGGGGCTGGGAGCGTTGCCAAATCAGGGGGCTGAGATGGGGCAGCGGAGCCACTGGGAGGAACTCCGAGCCCCTGGTCTCTGGGGATCAGGGGAGGAGCGGAACTTTGTCATGGGAGGGAAGGTAGTAGCACGGCTACCGGAGGGGAACACAAGAGGCCCGCAGGCCATAGCAGAGGTGCTGGGGAGGAGCATGGAGCCCCCCAAGTGGCAGCAGAGCCATTTGGTGAAGCATGAAGCTCCCCGGGCGGCAGCAGGGCTGCTTGATGGAGTCTTCTGGGCAGCACCAAAGCTGTTTGGGACAGCGTGACGCCTCAGATGGCAGCAGGCTACAGTGGTGGAGTTCCCGGCCACCGTGGGGAGAGGGGAGTCCCA